TACATGTTTGGATTAACGGATTTTTTTTCGAATATCCCTTACTTAAGTATTCTATCGAAAGGAGAAATAATTCATTATGTTCCGATTTTTACGTTATATTGAGATATTTTTAAAACGATTAATTAAAATGTTATATTCTAAACATTCAAATTAAACTTTATGAAAGCCTAACTTAGTAATGACTTGATACACTTGTAGTATTACAAGCTTTTACTTGTCAGTTTACAAATCATGTGTCGACAGCTAAAAACAAAATAGTGGTTAATTCATAGCCTATGCATATAAATAAGATGCAATGAAATTACTAATTGAAACATAAATCTATTATTAAAATATTTATATAATTTTCTTGTACAGTTTTATACAATATTTTTCTAAAAACATTGTATATGTTTAATTTATGAAAAATTTAATTTTCTGTAAATGTAATTATAATTCATACAAATATTATAACTGATAATTTTTTAGACTTTATCTATTTATTGACTATATTTTTTTCCATGTAAATCAGTTTTAAATATAATTTAAACTTAAAGCAAATGAAATTTAAGAATTATGTAATATTTTTAATGTTAAAATTTTTATAATAATTCCATATATAATTAGGAAATAATAATTTAAGAACTTTTATGAATATTACGTAATCTATTGTAAGAAAATAATATTTAACTAAATAAATGTTGTCATAGACTGAAAATATATTTAAATAGTATAGAATACCAATTAAATTTTAATTTGAACTCTATTTTGTAATTCTTTTTTATTATAATTTTGAAAACAAAAATGTATAAATTTGTTTAGTCATTGATCTGACAATCGTATAATATTTGAGATTTTATTATTTACGCCTCTATCGTGTAATAAACCGTTAGGAAGTAATATTACTATTAATCTTGTTAAGTAATAGCAACTTATAAGCAATTAAATCTATAAAAGCTTGCTCCAACATACATAATTTTTTTAATTGTACAAAATCTTTCTGTCTAGTATGAAATTATACTTGTAAAACGTAATCGTTAAATCACTGATGAACGATAAGTCAATAGACGTATGGTTAAAATTCTCAATATCATTTAATGTATAACTTTTCATTTCACTTTGCCTTTTCTGCTTTGAATTTATTCACCCATTTTTTAACTAATTTCAACTTGTGTGGGGACTAAAACTTAATGTAATAGAAAAAAGAAAACACATGGAATCATTCCTGATTAAAAACTGAATACAATGAGTCTTGATTTAGATTTATTTGAATCTATAAAAGTTATGCATTTAAGAAAATCTTATAAAAGTTATATAAGTTAAATTTCAACAATTTTAGTTAAAAATCAATTTCGGTCGGACGGTATTTTTCAAACGACGTGACAATCAGAAAGATCATTGTATTTTAGGAAAAAAGATTTTACACATGGATGTTAAAGGTAGTTGAATTGAGGTTCGACTCAATGAGCTATTTATGTAAAGTATCAGCAATAGTATACAATTGATTTATATTGTTCAAATGTTATTTTCATCTGATACATTAAGTGAAGATACTTGATTCAAGCAATACGCAATAGCTATAGATAATAAATTAGAAAAACTGTTATGCATTCTGCATTCAGTGTATTTTTCTTTAGTTCTTTATTTTTATTAGAAAAACAACTATTTTATTTAATTCAAAAATTTCAAATAATAGAAGTTAATAAATGTTAATAAATGTGAATAAATAAATAATAAATACATTCAAATGTTAATAAATTATAGATTCACTGCGAATTATAAATGAGTATTTGAAAACTATAACATTTAGCTTTAAATTTTAAGATCTCATAAATAAATTATGAAGTTAATTCTATAAAATATTCAGAGCATTAACTTTTGTGACTGTATTGCATTAGATAAATGTACACAACATTTTTTACATAAAAAAGATAAAGCACTATCGTACTTGAGATAGTTTTATGATAAATGCCTTAAATAATATAAGAATAATAAATTTATTCAGAAAGAAAAAAATTTCATTAATATATTTTTATAAAAAATTGAGCCTCCTTCACCTAAAATTTTACAAACAGATAAAATACGTTCAAGGTACTTTACAATATAAAGAAAATAAATAAAAAAGCCAAACTCGTTGCACTTCATCACTTAATGAAAAACTATTCATCTTTTTTATTCCACATCTTGTTGAAAATGATGGCATAGCGGCAATGATCAGAAAAACGTATATGCAAAACATAATTGATTTCTCCAAGCGATCGAAAAATAGCAATAAAACTTTTCAATATGTCTTAAATACTCAGAGATTCTTGATATATCACAATGAGTTTATTTAAAAAATAATAAAAATAAAGACTAAACGAAATTTAATTTCATATTTGAAGTAAAAAAATCTAATTAAGTATCATAGAACAATATTTTGTTTATATAATTTAAAAAATTCATTAGAAAACTAATTAAATTTTATAAAAATGCAAATTTAGAAAAATTAATTTTATAAATATTTATTTAAATTGCTTTAAAATAAATAATAAGATCTGAACAATGCTAATACTAATATTTATTCATAATACATAGGCAACTTACCACATAATTACCATACAATATTTAATTAAATATTATAATATGGAAATAATTTAAATGGAAGTCTGTAGCGGTAAATATGTATTTACTTTAGTAATGGATACAAATAATTACTTTATATTATTTATAAAGATATTAGCAAGTAACCTGACTCATATTAAATTAGTATTGAAACACAATACATTCATTTTAGTTTAAGCAAAATTTAATATATAAAAAATAGATTTAAAAATTATCGATTTTTGAATACAATTTTTAAGCCAATTATTTATAAGTACATATTATAATATATATTTATTATTAATAAAATTGTTATTTTTAATTCATTAATATAGAAATTATTATAAAACCAGAAAATAATTATATTTTTAGTCTTATTATATTAAGGAAACTTTATTTATCAGTTTTGATAATTTATAAAAATTATAATTAAAATAATTTAAATAAAATTTCTAGTGAATTGTTTTGAAAATAATAAATTCTTCGAATAATTGTGATTTGAAAAATTATAAATGAAGATTAACTTAATATTTATATTAGTAAAATAATAGGTTTTATAATAAAAATTAATTAACTATTAATATAAAATAATATTAGTACATGTTTTTCTGTTTTTTAGTACTTTTCCGTTTACACTGCATATATATATATATATATATATATATATAATTAAAGTATGCTTATAATATTTAATATTTCTTTTAAAATCTTCATAAAACGAATATTACGACTTTTTATTACTTTTATTTTTAGTTATGGCATAAAATTTACTCGAGTACGGAACGTTTTTTTATAATTTAGAATAAAAAAAAGACATCTTGCTTACCGTTTTATTAATTCAGAAATATTATACTTCAGGGTAATTCATGTGTTTTAATTAACAATATTGTAAATTGAGAAAAAATAACGGTTCTCCACAACGATAAAATTGCAATAATTTGAAAGACTTTTCTCGGAAAACGAGCAAGTGAAAGAAGACTTAAAACCAAAATAGTTTTACTCTAAATTATATTTTTAACTCGCAGAAACTACGGATACTTTTAAGTCTGTAACAAATGAAGTTCGGGTTATATTGATGGACTGAGTTGACGGGGATGAAGCGAAAAGGAGTCGAGAAAATAAGGGAAGACAATTCGGAACTCTCTACAATTAGCGGACCGATGATGTATAGTTGAAAGTAAGTGACGCGCGATACGCGGGGAGTGCCGAATACGGGCATAATGAATATCATTTCTTTTCGCGGGGGTACCTTGACCCACATTAAATGCGGCGGTACGTACACGTCATTGCTCGCCTCATTACGCAAACGTTTCTCTATCCCGCCTCTATAGGCGACAGCGCAAAGCGCAGGCGACGCGCGCGCCACAGGAGCTCAGGTCGCCCCTCGACTCCAACAGCCGATGAAACTTCATTGGGTGGCACGTGAGATTGGAGGCGCGAAAGTGGTCGCATCTAATGATTGACTGACGGCTTCCTTCATCAGGCACTAACCACTGCTCCTCGGATGTCATTTGAATCGCGATTCGTAATTATCCTTCGTGCTGTGAATTGCCTATTCGCACGGTAGTCGTCCGCTTCCTTTTTTTCGACGTGCTCGTGTTGGCCAATAACTACTACAAGGTCGACATCTCTTTGACCTTTCGATAAATTCATCTAAAATCTGTTTTTCTTATTTTTTAATGGAATATAGCTTCTTTCATCAATACCTTTTGCGATAACATTAAATATATTAATTTCAACGATTTAAATATAAATCGACCGCCTTCCTGACTTAATAATGCCCATAATTTCAACATATCTTATTAACATGAAACTATATTACGCATTGTTTGTTTTATATTAATTATTTAATATAGCTGAAAATTGTTTTATATTTTACAAGGATTATTCATTAAACATGCATTAAAGTTATCTTTGATAAGCATTCTTATATCACAAAATATATATCGACTTATTAAGAAATCTTACCTTAATATAATTTCACATTATAAGCAAGCATTTATTTTATTATTAATTTAATTGATATTTATTTGATAATATCAATAAGATAATTTTTAATATAATATTTTGTTATTATAAAATTGTTATTAAAGTTGTTAAAAGGCAAAAAAATAAATAAATGCAGAATAGAATATTATAATATAATATAATATAATAGAATTTCATGATAAAATACTGTTTACTGTTAAACGCTATTTAATTAATCTAATATAAGTTAGACCTATTATTACATTTTTTTCATACCTATTTTTTTTTATATATAGCAATTTACAATATTTTATAAACCAACTATTATTGCGTGATGCAAGGGTTAAATTTAAGAAATGAGAAATAAGTCATTATTCACATTTCTGATTGCGTCAATATCGATAATGAAATATGTTACGCGCATCATTATGTGTTGTTAACACTATTATATGTAAAACAAAATTACTTACTTTCAAAAAGTCGCGCAACCAAATAACCTCAGGCTTCGGATCGGCTACAACCTCGCACTGTATAATTATCGTATCGCCTTCCTGTGCCTCTGTTGATAATGGTTTCGTCACGAATAAGGGTACTTTCGAATAGCTGCGTAACATAAAGAAAACATAGCCATTAATACACTAAATTTACTACTAAATTTATACACTATTGTTACTATTACTATACGGTAGTTTTCTTACTCATAGATTGATTGTGATTTTATTATAGTTTTAATGTTAAAAGGATAACGTAAGAAAGTTGATAGTGGAATTTTAAATGAAATATGTAGTAACTTAGATATAATATATTCTGAATAAGTATGAAAAGTATTTCCTTCAAATAAAATATCATTAGTTTTTTTTCAAGTATTCTTTTTTCAATAATGTATCACTTTTATATTTACTTTTTAAAAGTAAACTTAAAATACATTGAAATTGAAAAAAGTTAAAAAAATTATATTGAGTTATTTGAAAATATAAACACTTATACAACTTATTTAAATTCCATAGTTTATGCTAGTAGAAGCAATTCTCATTTATCGTTTATATAATTTACATTATATTGTTAAATTAAGCAATGTTTGATATAAACAAATTAGAGATATTGAATTATCTAAAGAATGAATACAGACTTGTAGCTTAAAATAAAATTATTTAAACAATTATAATACATAAAACATATTAGAAATACTAAAATCAACATACGGAATATCAATATCAGGCGGATTAATGTTAACTTGAAGTATAGCGTCATTATCTGCAATGTTAATGCTATCATCCGCTCCAATCACGCACACTTTGGTGGATGTTTCGACTTTGCCAACTTCATTGGTGGCCGTGCAAGTGTAGATGCCAGCATCTCGGTTTCTAACTTTCGCCAGGATCAATTCAGCAATGCCATCATGACTTAATGTCATTGTTGCTGTTCTTCGTGGTCGTAGACGGATTCCATCTCGATGCCTGTATACAAATTTAATAGAATTAATTTTTTAAATTAAAACTTTAAATGAAAAATATGCGAAAGCCAAAGTCTAACATTAAATTCATTTTTCAATTAGATATTAATGCTATGCTCTTTATGGTTTTATAATTTTAACGAGTATTAATCTATATACGAAATCATTTTTATATTCATAGTAACAGATACGCATATTAAATACAAGTAAGTTTATTTTAACTTTATTCTCTGCAACAAAAAAAAAAAAAAGAGAAAAAAACAGAAAAATAAAAAATATTAACATTATTCATGGAATATTTTGAAATCATTTAATACGAAACTTTTCTAATATTGTATACAGAGTTTTAGCTTAGTTATATTACATTTTTAAGATTTTCAGAGGCAAATGTAATTGTAAACATTATGTAATTGTAAATCTATATATCTTATTAAAGCTTGCCCCTATTATCACGTCAATGTAACAATGAACAATCATTAAATGTAGTATTAAGTAATATTTGTTTAAGTAACATAAATCGTATTTAAAAGTAAGAAAATTCATTACGATTAAACATTTATGTTCATTTTAATAGCATGATTATTATGCATAATTACATATTTATTACGTAAACGTGTTAAAACTTACCAAACAACTCCAACGCTGGGGTAAGCCTCTATTTGAGTTCTCAGCCTAAGGTCACCATCAACTTTGACAGCATGCGCAACTTCTAATTCATAATGAAATCGTGGGGCAACATAGGCCCGAATCCCCTTGTCCACTACAAGAACACATCGGCAAGATATCGATCCATTAGCATTTTTCGCACAAGCTGTGTAGCATCCACAATCATCTAGACTCGCCCTTTCTATCTCTAATGTGTAGAAGTGAGACTCGTCGGTATGGATCGATCGTGTCGCTGCAAAAGAATTAGAAAGTTCGATTTTATTCTTCTTATTATCTTTATTATTCTAATAGCACGAGATCACTTTACTGAATAGGTTTGTTCTTCGATGTTAGAATTTAGAAATAAAAATAAAAGACTTTTAATAAGTAGTGCTTGATATAATAGAATTTTATTACATTTAGTTAGTGAACAATTTCAATTAATAATTAATAAATTTCAAAATGAATGCAATGGAAAACTTTCGTTTAAAAAAATAAAATTACTATACATTTATAATAATTTATTATTTATTTAAATAATTAAAAACTTTTAATTATACATTGAAACAATAGCTATTTATGTTTAGCAGTATATTTTTTAATTTACTTTTGATTTATGTTTACTAATGTTATAAATTAATTTTACATTCTAATATTGTATAGAGAAAAAAATTAATAAATTTCTGAATTATAAAATTGATTATATATTTTCAATCGTCAATAAAAATTAAGATTCTTGTTAAACAGTACAAAAATAATTAGATATTGAAATAAAATTTCAGAATTGCTATTTGTATGTTTATATAAAACTCATACAAAAAATGTCATGTACAAATTATACATCTCTCGTTTGTTAGATCCGTTGATATTTTACTTACGAGTTTCGGTAAGAAATTTGCCATCCTTCAACCAGGATACTTCAGGTTCTGGGCAACCGAAAACTTGACACGTTAATCTTACAGGATACGACGTTTGTACTCGCCTATCGCGAAGTCTCATTGTAAATTGCGGCAACCCATCTTCCATTAGCCCATCGAGAAATCTTTGTTTAAATTCTTAATATTAAACTGAGACATCCAATATATAAAGTAAATATTATAAGCAATAAGTATCGTACCTTTTCTTTAAGCGTTCGTCGGCATTTAAAATTTTTTGATCATTTACAACCAAAATCCGCCCATACGATGATACTTTACCTGCTTTATTTGTAACTTCACAAATATATCTACCAGAATCGTAATTATTGATATTTTGTAAAATAAGCGAGCACTTAGCTTTATCACTTTTTACAATATATTTTGAGTCGTCACTGGAATCAATTTCTGTTGTTTCCCGAAGCCATTTTACATCAAATTTAGAATCACTACGAACCTTTAATATGAAATCATATTAATATACGAATATAATATTTAGTATTTAACATTTTTTATATTTACAATTTCATATATTTTCCATATATCTGTTAATTAAATTTTGTTTAAATTACTTAAATTAAATATGAATTAATTTAGTATATCATTATATTATCTACTTTATTTATCACATTTAAATATAAATAAGTTGAAAATTAAAGAAATATTTTCTTAATCTTTAATCTCCTTCCAATCATTAATAGCAAAAAAAAATAAACTCACTTCGCATTCTAATTCGACTGTCGATCCTTCGAGTGCTTTAAGTTGTCCAGGGAGAATTTTCGTAAATTCTGGAATTTCGACATCGTCACACACAGTCGCTGTCCCGCTCATTGTAACAGATTCGCCCCATCCATAACGATTTTTTGGTGTCACGCGAAATTTGTATTCACCGCCAGGTCGAAGATTGAAAGCATCAAATGAATTAATTGGCGTAATACCCAGCTATTTTTAACAAAAACAAATTAATTTTTATTAATTATCTTAATAGACATAGAAATTGTTAAAATTTCGATTTAATAAGATTAAAAAAATAATAAAGCATGTATGTATGATTGTTATTATTTTTATTTATTCTTATTTATGTTTATTATTGACTTGATTTATAAAATTATGATTTTTATAATGTTTATTAACGATGTTTATTAACGAAAAATTAAAATACCTTATGCTTCAGTATTTATAATAATTATATGCCAGTGTATATAAGAACGATTTCAACTGCTCGAACTATAAGTATTACAATTACAATGTATAAATTTTTATAAAAATTAAAAATAAACCCGATGATAAAAAGTAATAAAAGTAACTAATTTTGAAAATTAAAACGGTAGATATATTCAGTCACTGTTGCTTATACAGTAGTTTGAAATAATTTATTGCCAAAGATGGTACGTTGTAACTATAGTTTAAGAAATTATTTAAACAAATTTATTAAAAAGAACCTCTTTCCATCGTGCTCCACCTTCTCGTCCCATTTGCCAGGCATCGACCCGATATGCAACAACGGGAACAGGCCCACGCTGATCCGCTTTTTCCCAGCTCAAAGAAAGCCAATTTCTTCCACCGTCAATGACAATGGGTTCACTACTAATTGGACCGGGTATATCTAAAACATTCGGCAAGAATAAAAGTCTGTACTCAACGATTAACAATAAGATAAAGCTTTCCCTTTTACTTTAATCAATATAAAATCTTACGTATTGGGTAATTTAATAACACGAACGTCGCACTGAATAATTCATAAAAACACTCGCATATAATGCCTAAAGTCTAAATAATTTAATTGGATATATTTTATCAATTTAACCTTTTAATTCTAAGTTCGTTACTAAACGTATATAAAATTATTTTATACAAAAAATTATATTTCAGTGTCAAAATTGCCTTTGATTTATGAAAATGATTTTTGTAATTTGCGCAAATAGATTAGTCAAAAAATATATATTAATTTTAAAAGCTTTTATAATTCTATAGTTCTATACGATTATACATATATATATATATATATATATATATATATATATATAATTAATATTCTTTATATATTAATAAAATTAAGATAATTAAAAGAATTAAAATAAATTTTATCTCAAAATTTGAACAAATACCTTGATAGTTCAACAATTCTAAATCTGAATTGTTTCTATTGTACCATATTAATTTCAACCTTTTCACTAAATTTTTTTTGGATCGTGAAATTATTTCATCATCGAAATAATTATCACCGTTAATACTCATTTTTCTATAAACTTCTCATCACTCAAGAAGACATAATCAATTTTAGAACAAAATAGCACTGTTAAAGATATTTCGTAAGTCGTAGCCGATTATTGAAAATGATAAGACTAAAGTCGAATATGTAATTGGACCGCGAACAACGAACTAAATTTTAAAATTGGTTGAACGCGTCTCTAATGACAAGCGTTTGTTGGCGGGGAGATCCCGACAAAAATAGTCCAAGAAGAGATTTAGCGAATTCACGGCGTGGGTAGGCAAAATAATAATTTTTAGATACTTTGACCTCTTTTGCATTGTCACTTTTTCACCTCCTCCCTCTCTTTCACACTCTCTCATTCTCTCTCTCCCGTTGCAGTTATTCAAATATTTAATGCATATAAAATTCAATATATTTATTATTGTATACAATTAAAAATATAAACTTATATTATAATTATTTATTGAGAAAATATTTAGGTGACAAACATATAATTAAAAAAAATTAACATTACTCACTTCTGAGATAAGATTGCCGTTCTCGAGTGTGTATATCAGATAGACGATCGGATAAACTTGTTCTTTCAGATGTCGGAGTCAAAGATCTCGCCCTCTGCCTTACCTTATATTTAAAACAGCATTCATTTATACATTTAAACAATATTATATTTCATTTAAACACAATATTTTATTAAAAAATAAACCTTCAATGTAAAGAAAGATCGATCACAGCCATAGCAATTTTTTACAAGAATACAGTATGTTCCTTCGTCATCTGAATTGACTCTATTCAAAGTCAATCTAACATAATCGTCAATCGCCTCCTTATGGGTTCGTGGCCCATCCGAAATATCTTTTATGCCTTTCATCCAAATAACTGAATAAAAAATTTTGTTAAATTCAGTAATTCTAAATTAAGTTAAATTAAGTATCTAGTTAGAGGTAATAAATTGAAATTATTAATTTTGAAACTTTGTGTAACTTACATCAAACATAAAATTTAAGAAAATACAATTAAATTAAATTCTTATTTATTTAAATATTTATTAAAAAGTGTGCTGAATACCTTTAGGCTTTGGAATGCCACTAACTCGAAATGATATGGATGCAGCTTCCCCATCCGTAACATGTACTGTTTTATCCGTAGGTTGTGAAACAAATGCTGCTGGCTTTCCCAAATCATCAAATTTACTTAACGGAATTACTTCGACTGTTGTACTTGTGTCAACGTGGCCATAAGCATTACTTACACGACAAACATATGTTCCAGCTTCGGATTCAGTTGCTTCAGGCAAAATTAGAGTGTAAACACCAGATTCAGAAAAGGTATAAGTTTTCGGACTTGAAATTGGTTCTTTCTTTTCTCCATTACGACGAAGCCACGTAACATTAGGTGCTAAGGAATCTAAAACATATGCGATATTTTAAAAATCGTATTTTGTCAAAAATATTTTTTATTTAAAAAATAATATAGTTATATTAAAAAAAATCGATTACCTTTTATTTCTACTTGTAGTGCTATTGTTCCTCCTGCAGGCACTTTGTAATCAGCAAGAGAAGTAGATATTTGAGGAAGTTCCTCTCGTTTTCTTCCAGTATTATACAATTGATTATAAATCGAATCGTCATTTTTTAACGGAATTTTACTATTTTCCTTTCCTGAAATATTCAAAAAAAAATATTTGAAAATATTTTAATAATATTCATATACAAAATAAAAATAATAAAATTTTACCATGAAAGCGAACTCCGTGTTGGTGTGCGTTATTAGAAATATCAGATTCAGATGTCTGTAGACGGAAAATGCCATGACCAAGTGTAGATGATCTATAACGATTACCTCGAAGAATTCGTTCATTTGTTTGACATGAAATTGAAGGTATTAATTGTCCAAAAATATTAGATTGTTTATCCATTATTTTATATTTATCTAAAAATTATATATAACTTGTGAATTATATAGGTATTATATTATATATGATATTTATAAATTTTTACATAAAAATACTATAAATTAGAATGACTTTACCATTTCTAATTGATGTATATGAGGGCTCCACCGATAAAGCGTCATAAATTGGATAAACTCTTATAGTAGCTTCCGTTGATGCTTGTCCATAAGGATTTTTTGCTAAGCAAGCGTAATATCCAGAATCCTCAAGCGCTGCGGAAATAATTTCTAATGTTGCCATTCCATTTTCATACTTAGTTTGTTCGCGTCTACTTGGCCTTACTCGATCTCCATTTTTAGTCCAATAAACTTGGGGCTCTGGTTGTCCAATCGCAGTACATATAAGTCGTATATGAGACCCTTCAGCAACTGTACAATTTGTCAATTTTGTGCAGAATATTGGACATTTTCCGTGCTATAAAAGTACAATTTTATTTATATATCAATCACAGCATGTATTATATAATTCTATAAGCCATTAAACAAATTTTCTAGTTTAAAAAAATATTTTTTCTAAATTAATTTAAACAGTATATTTTCTAGTCTTTTTATTTCTTCTAACGGAAATTATAATTTTTTTAATTCTCAAGAATTATAACTGATATTCACTCTTCGCGCTATCAATTATAATATACCACCCATTTTTTTTTATATATTTCGTAATTAAATAACAAAAAACTAAATCAAATATTAAATAATTTGAACTCGTTTCAAAATCACTTTGTAAATTGAGAATACATCAATGTAACAATAGTAATTACAGTTAATAAACAAGATCTATCTTAATCATTTGAAAATATAATTTTTTTTTACATTTTCATTCGTTGTTGCAATAATTAATCTCATTACAAATATTATTAACCCTTATTCATATAGCGTAAGATACTATAAACTGCTAAATGAAATAAAAATACCTAAAAATATATTGTACAAAAGCATAGATAGAATAGGATAGTATGTCTACTAAAATATATGAAAGAAAATAGCAGAGAGAGTAGACATCATCATGCAAACTTTATTTGAAAATAAATGCAGCCTCAATGTAACAAATATATATTAAAAAATTCATTATAAGCGAACTTCACAATTCATGTAATAAACAAACTATTAATTGATATTGAGAATAAATGATTCATCGTATAATATATATATATATTAATCCTAAAGATATTATTTAATATGCAGACATAATATATAACACCCAACAAATATATAAAAATACAATAAATATTTAAAAATGGCTATGATTGTTTATACGTAAACATAAAATCTGAATATTTATAAGATATTCAAAAGAAAAATTTATAATTTTTTAACTGAAATTACTAGAATCAATAAGAATCTCCACTAAATATCAAAAGTAGATCTATTATAAATTTCCAAGAATTGAACTAACATTAACATTTTATCTAGTAAAAATAGTTGCAATTTATATCTTAAACATGTATATATTATTTTAAATTATGTAGACAAATAATTGTTATATTAACGTTTGTTAATGTTACCTCAATATTTAAAAATATACTGAAAGTATTCATCTAATGTTAACGCTTATTAAACAAAATATTACATTATCAACAAATGAGATTATAATAAAACATACGATTATCAAATAAAATCAAATATTCATTAAAATAACATTATATTAATAATAGTTTTTTTTATCAAATTTATACATTTTAGTTAAAATTATATAGATATATAAAAATGATGATAAAATTTAAAATGAACATATAAAACAAAGCTTTTTAAAACTCTCAATATTATATTGAGAAATTTTATAATTAAAAATATTATATGAAATAATGACATCAATAATACATTATCAATACATAATAGACAAACAATACTATTTGTTATGAAATTTAATAAAAACTAATATATACTACATATGTATAAGAAATTTTTTATTACTAAACTTACATCAAAGTTCATTGTTGGAGATTTTGGAACTTCATAACTAGCAATGGAACTTCTCGATTCAAATCTTCTACGAGAACGACTTAAAGCAAGACAATCGGACACTGACATGGAATGATAATTAGAATGAAATGATTTTGGGTTGTATTTAGTATATTGGAAATCTATTCTATTCGTATTAAGCATCTTTGCAACATTTCGATTTTTTAATTCTGAGTCAAAATTAAGTAAGGATGTCGAATATTTATTTCCAATTGTATTGGTAAATTTACTATTTATAGTCACATCAAAAACACTTGTGCCTCTACAAAGTGGGGCACGAGCAAATTTCATATCATGTTCATTATTTAATAAATCTTCTCTTGATCTAGATAAAAATTTGTTATGTTTAAGATTCAATCTACAACGAGTTTGAATGCTATCAAGTTTCAAATCAGATATATTGCTACAAGTCATTCGATTTTCTCCACTAGCTTTATGTATATTAAATAATGATGAAGATTTAAGATTAGAAGATTGAATTTTCAGACAACCCTCATCTCCAGGAATATTTCCAGAACTGTCAATATAATTTTTCAAACAACTACGGGTGGTAATGTCTTCTAATAAACAATTATTAGCTTCCTCTATTTCTCGTCTTACTTTACTATCCTTACTATCGGTATCCTTGCTTAATATACCTGCTGTAACAGGTTTTACAACATCATGTTGCTGTTGGTATGACTTTTCGACTCCAAATTTTTCTAGCTTTAGATTTTCACTTTCCAATGACTCAGATTGTTCAAACTCTTTTTTGAATTCATTGAACGCGCTTTTTTGATATTCATTTTCTTCCCACGCAAACTTTTCAGCTTCCTCCTTTTCTCTCTTTACCCCTTCCGTTTCAACTTTCTCGTCTTCTTCGCGTTGCTCTTCTACTCTACGACATTTTTTATCTTCGGCCAGCTTTTGATTCTCTTTTTGTTCCAGCACTAACTTTTCAGCTTCCTCTTTTTCTCTCTCTGTCCTATCTTTTTCCAGTACCTCCTCTTCTTCGCGTTGCAATTGTTCTCTACGCCGTTTTTCATTTTCGGCGAGTTTTTGACTTTCTTTTTGTTTCAATGCTAACTTTTCAGCTTCCTCCTTTTCATTCTTAACCCTTTCTTTTTCCAGTTTCTCATCTTCTTCGCGTTTCTCTTCTTCTCTACGCCGTTTTACTTCGTCGGCACGTTTTTTATTTTCGTTTTGTTCAAGCTCTAACTTTTCAACTTCCTCCGTTTCTCTCTTAACCCTTTCTTTTTCCAGTTTTTCATCTTCTTCGCGTTTCTCTTGTTCTCTACACCGATTCTCATCTTCGGCGAGTCTTTGAATTTCTTTTTGTTTCAATGCCAACTTTTCAGCTTCCTCCTTTTCTCTCTTTACCCTTTCTTTTTCCAGTTTTTCATCTTCATCGCGTTGCTCTTGTTCTCTACGCCGATTCTCTTCTTCGGCGAGTCTTTGACTTTCTTTTTGATTCAATGCTAACTTTTTAGCTTCCTCCTTTTCTCTCTTTACCCTTTCTTTTTGTAGTTTCTCATCTTCTTCGCGTTTCTCTTGTTCTCTACGCCGA